CATGCATAAAAGTTTGCTACTGACAGAGTCTCAGATAAAACACAATCATTCAAATAAGAAGCATGACTTGTACAAATTCAAGGTCCAACCTCTTTGCATCCTGGATTGTCAATCAGCTCCTGATTACTGGCATGAAGAGGCTGACCAGCATTTACTGGATTCAGAATAACTTTGTCTCCAATGACAACCTAACAAAGAGGAATAATTAAGAGGAATAATTAATTTTTACCTTAATAGTAAAGAAGTGATCCAAAACAATGGCAATGACATTCATCAGTCAGGAATGAACAGGCAAGTGTATTATTTTTCTGACCTTATCTCCAGATGATCTGAGCTTGTAGAATGGAACAACATAAAACCAAGATCCCTAAAACAGATTTACAAAAGAAAAATACAATGAGCAGTGCTGAGATACTCTAACAGAAATGAGCTGTTTAAAATAAAACCATCCCATGGGTTGGAAAAATCTAGTTTGTGCTTCAAACATTTTGCAAGTATTGCCTCAACCCATGCCCGGTTATAACATGTGTTACTCAAGACTACACCTTGCTATGCCATCGTTACCTGTTGTTTTGAATGGCATACACTTATTATCCACCATGACTCTTCTACAGGCAAAAAGAGTATTTGATTCCTTACCTCATTGCCATTGGTATCCAAGGTTACTCGCATGGCATTTTTCTCTCTCAAGGCTGGAAGTCGCTTGTTCACTGTTAGAAATTTGTTACTCTTCACATGCAGAAGCTTAAAGAGTGAAAATTAAATCCATCAACACTTAAGTTCTAATGTAAAAATAATCTAGATGTTGTATCCATCACTTTTTTCATTTCCCTCTACACTCATTTAATAAGTTTCCTTTTATCAGAATGACTGAGGTTTAATCTATGAGCCATATGCCATTTCAGACTTAACATACAGTCTTTTGTTGCATCAGCTCCAAGCCAAACATTGCTGTGAAATAATTCTTTTTATTAAAAACTGGATCATTGGATAATGCAATTCAAGAGTTTTCATTGGTTTAGCTATCAAGGGTTATGACCCATTATTAAATTCTCAGCCTCGGATAATGCAATTCTAGCTTTCTGATTGGTTCAGTGGATCTCGGTTACCAGCCATTATACCTGCGTTTGACCTTATATAGAAATGAATGCGGTAAATGTCGTTTGGCAAAAACTTTTTCGCAGGAAGCCAAGTTTCGTCGACAAAAAAAATGGATGAAAAAAAGCAGATTCGGTGAGCTATCTACAGAAGAAATAGCAGAAATTATCGACAATGTCGTCCCAGTAACAACAAAAAAGCCACAAAGTTCGAGATTAGCTTATTTAATGGTACGTATACGTAAAGTTTCCCTTAAAAGTGGCAAAATTATATATGACCGTCGAGATTTTACGCGCTCATGAAGATTATGTAACAAAAACAATGTTTACCTTAACAGAATGGCTTCATAGTTCTGGTGGCACCAAATTTTTGAAACCGATATAAGAAATGTCAAAAGAAGAACTGAATGTTTGTTTGAAGTGTTTTTACACGCTGCGAGGAAGAAAGATGGCACATATTGCAAGTTCAATCCATTAGAGCCACCATTGATCATTTCCTTCGCTTGCAGCCACACAACAAACCGTTTTTCACTATCTCTGACCAGGCAAATAAATTATTAGAACATTTGTAAAATGCCTCAGGAAAACAGGCATCATTGCCGGTGTAGTCCATAAGAAACCAATTTCCAATTAGCAGACGAGGAAACTGTTCGACTTAAGCAAGCTCGGATCAGCCGAGAGCAAAAATCCTGCACAGCTACAGAGTACGACCTAGTTTTATCTCGGTCTCTTTTTTGGCCGATGAGGACGAGAGAATCAACGACAGCTAGCACCAACAATTCCGATGTCCTTGCGAAAGACACCTCAAGGAGTTGAGTGTTTTGAGCTTAATCAAAGTAAGCCCGGTTCTTTACCAGCCATGAAAAACCATCAGGATGGCCTCGGAGATTCTGAAGATGAATCTGACGCTAAGATAGTTTCTCTCCCTGACTCCGAATCTGGCCAACAATGAGCTCCACACATACAGCTCGAAATGCCAAGGATTTCAAAGCAAGGGAATCCTGAAAGAGATCTTGTCAAGAATAATTTTGGCACAACGTTTGTGTCACATGGCGATCAAAGTTTTCYGCAGCATTATTACAATGGCAATGTGTAAGTGCACAATTATTCGGCTCTTCTCCATGACTCAAACTTGAACGCTTTTCAAACTTTCTGACCAAGGTTATATCTCCTTCATTTGATAGACGTTCCTTGAATTCTTCTTGATTGTAATTTCATTCAGCAAATTCGCTTGCTTCGCTTTCAAAATTTTCATTCAACTAATTTTACAAACGGCGCACATGTCATGTGATTTCCCACTTGTTGCTGTTTTTGCCACATTGACTTCCGGTCGTTTTGTAAAATCAAAATCCAATAAAATTAAGCCATTATTTCCAAGTATACAAACGCACCGAATTTAATAAAACAATTATTCCATTCGTGCTTGTTGGATATGAGATTGGTTATAGCCAACTCGGCCCTCCAGGCCTCGTTAGCCATTTACCATCTCATATCCAACACGCGCTCATGGAATAATTGTTAATTATACCATGCTTTACAAAATGATATGGTAAGAGTACGCGTGATTTTTTGGGACCTTTTTTATTTAGTTTTGTTTGCTATATTTTGGGGCGTTTTTATTATTCCACTCACGCTTGTTGGATATGAGATGATTATAGCCAACTTGGCACTATGCACCTTGTTGGCGATATACCGTCTCATATCCAATGCACACTTGTGGGATAATTGTTAATTGTGGAAGATTACACAATGAAAGACCCAGTGTAAAACATCACAACATACCTGAATAACTCCTCCATATTCAACGACACTCCCCAAGCATTTCTTGTACTCCGAGTCATTCTGCTTCTTCTCCAACTCAGCAGCATGCTGAAATATCATTGAACAATACATTTTATTTCCTTTAAATTTCCTTTGTCTTAGGGTTATCTAGGCTCATCTCCAGCCATTTTGCAAGCTTGCATTCCTTGAATCATAATGGCTCCCCAAATGGCTGGAAATTGAACCTACCGATTATGGAAATAAATCTGGAACAATGACAAATATAACTCACAGCCATCTAGAATTGTAATTGGTCTAATATCCATTTTTAGATACAATTGTAAACAATTACTGGATGAGGTTTTTGTGATATCCAGAATAATCAAGGTCGAGGTAGGGGTTATCAGCCGAAGCCAAAGGTTGAGACTGATAACCCTTGCTGAGATCTTGATTATTTTGGATATCCCAAAAATCAAATCTAATAATTGTTTTATTACACATTGAACGGAAAAAAAAATGGAAGTCATGTTTTTGCTTCTTCACTGATGACAAGCAACACAAAGCACGCAAACTTGACATGATTACCCTTAGAAACCTTGTACCACAGTCATACATGACATGATTACCCATGACCTTGGGTGTCCTTGACATGATTATTGTATAACCTGCAGCTAGATGACATCACAGACACTGATTTCAAAAATTCACTGTACTCTTTCGGCCAATAAGAAAAGAGATAGTGAGTTCAATGCATAATTTAGTGGAAATAAATCTGGAACAATGAAAAATATAATTCTCAATCGTCTAAAATTATAATTGGTCTAATATCCATCTTTAGATACAATATTAAAAATCATGTTTGGTTAGGCTATTTGCACACAATGTTTGCCTTTTGTCGATATCTTTCAGATCGTATGTTGCTCACATGGGTAATGGTTTGTACACTATCTAATTATTTATATGCAAATGAAGTACAAACTTAAAGTTAATTGTTAGGCAAAATTGTAGATATGAATATAACATATATCAGTGTGAATGTTTTGGTCAGTCTAATTAATTTATAGCTACACTTTACAGGAAAGCAATATCAGAGCCAATGAGACATTAAAACAGCCTTCTAGGCTCTCTTCTGGCAAACTGAAATTAATCAAACAATGGAATTGATGGCGAGACATGACTAACATAAATTATCTCAAGCTGAGTAAATTAAAGGTGCCAATATCAGGTAATCAAAACCTAGACAACTATTAGATTTAGTGTACCAGATATTTTCACAAAAACTATTTAGCTAATAAATTATCTAAGTTCATGTGAATCTATTTGACATACACTGCACCAAATACATTCTATATCTATCCATAGGAGTCTATTGAATCCAGTTCTTATTCAGTCTATAGACTGCTTCAGGCAAAGTCTACAGTATAGGGAAATGGATTATCAGGGAGTCCAATATTGAATCAAAGCCATTTCCTTGAAGGACAATATATCTTCAGTTGATAGCAAGTCATTGAATATATTGTTTAAAATGAGTTATTCATGAATACAAGGTTATCAAAATAATTTTAATATTCTTGCTTAACCAAATAGACCTTGTTTGTATTGAAAACACAATCATATTGGATACACGTCATTGGCCGTACCATGCCAGTATACTTCAAAGAGTATGTGATTTCCACACTGTAATGCTTGTTTATTTAAATCATAGTATTGTATCTTGGCAAAATAATTTATTACAATTAACACTTAATCAAGGGATTAAACTGAGAAGGTAACATATCATTAATTTTATCCCCAAGCAAAAATATGAATTATTAGTAAGTGATTACACTTTTATAATTTATTTATAATTTTGCTCACAAATGATGAAATATCAACATATCATTAGTTCAAATGGTAACTTAAAATCTTGGCTCCTGCGTAACTTTCTATTATCATTGATAATGACAAGTTTACCGAGACAAGCAAATAAAAGCAAGCCTATGGGACTTGGTAGCTATGGTAGTTTGTCGCTCATCAAATGTAAAATGAAAACAACTTCTACTGAAAGTCTGCGACAAGGTTGATAGTGAGCTGGCCAATAACCTGAAACAGTCTGCTAATACAGAAAATCAAATACAAGCTCAAATAAATACTAAGTATGGACATTTAATTTCCTGAATATCACTACAGTACATAGGCCCCTTGATCAATACAACTGGCTGTGAAAAATATTAGTCCACCAAACAAGTCTGCTACTGTTAAAAGTTCCATGTGGAGTTGGCGTAAGAGTTAAAAGAAAAAAAATTCTTCCTGTTTATATCTAATTTCAATGTCATTTTTATACAGCACTGAAACACTTGTCTGAGTTAACTAAAATAGTTCCAAGACTATTTACCCCAAGACTGTCGCATCAGAATTAGCTGACAATTGTTCAATAGCTCATGAAGGCCAATTACATGTAACATTCAAGAATAATGTAACTATATCGTGAAACGTTCTATCCTGAATGATTGGAAAAAATGCTCTAGGGAATTAAGCTTAAAAATTTACTTTAGCTATCCAGCTGTTGTATTTAATATCGGATTATTGAACACAACACATCAAAACAATAAAAAAACATATCCTGAGTTTTTCGTCGCACAGTTGTGAACCATAAGAGGTCACAGATCATGGCAAATGTGATTTTTTTCCTTCTTTCGAAACAGAATATTTTTTTTCTTCCGTATTTCCCTTCAGCGCCAAAAAAATTAACATAAATAAACCAACGAACCAGCTATTGAGCAGAGAGAGTATTTTCTTACAATCTATTATGCAGATGAAAAAAAAAAAATTAAAGCCCGAAAGTGGGTGAATTTATCATTTTCCACGTCAATCGAAAAACGGTATAATCTTTTCCTCCGGAAAATAAAACCGCCAGCATTACAATTTTCTTAAATTTCAATTTTCAAACAGCCAGAAGAAATATCAATCCAGTTTTTCGCAAAATATATACTTCATTTCTCGAATCGGGGGACATGTTATATCAGTACCAGAAATTTGTGTACACAACTGGTCTTCCTCTACACTTCGCACGAGGACTGCTCTACAAATAAACATAAGTTTTGATCTGACCAAGTCGTGCGATAACTTCTCACCCCAGGAAACGAGAGAAAAGTAGTACCTTGATCAATGGGGTGAAAAAAAAAAATGTTAAATTGGTACAATGCTAATTTCCATCGTACTCCTCGTTCAATACTTCGTACGTATCTTTCAAATTAACTTCTGGTTTTATCACCGTCGCAAATGTAATTGATGAAGTTTAAAGGCTTAATTCCTTTGTAAGCCTGTACACAGGAAGTTCATAAAAATATCTAGCTCGACGATGCTCGAGTTAAAAGGTGTGAAATCTCTAATCCCTGACGCGAGGGTAAAGAAAGCATTGGAAAAACTATGAGAAACTTACACTGTAATTTACGATATAATATCAGAAACTTACATGAAGTTTCTTCAGCAAAACAGCATCTGTAGCGCTTGTGGTCGGTTTCGCAGCCTTCCAGAATTGCTTCTGTGCGGAGTAGCGATTCGACGGACATATTTTGAACAAGCAGTCTGGAATTAAACACAATAAAGACGAGAATTATGGACGTGCTAGTTGTTTAGCTAATGCGTGTCGTGTCGCATTATAAACCTTCTTCATTGTTAGGCGTGTTTAACGGACGATCAAGTTGACCAGTTGTTTGCTTACCACGAAATTTCTTCGGCGGGTTATTCAGGTCGCCAGCGGACGGCTGCACAACACAGCGATCGTCGATAAGGCTGGAAATGGACAGCTAGATTTTTAAACAGGAAAAACAACACAAAAGAGCTAATAAACAGACTGATAGCATAATACACATCTTGGTCCTTTACCCGAGTGTGCTAATGAATCCATTGACGGTTCCCTCGGCGAAAAGAGAGACGATATCGCCGATATGTAGAAGGCTCGTCTGCTGGGTCATCGTTCAACGCAAACTTCGAATTTACGCGCGTCGAATCAGCGAACAATTTCAACATTGGATCCACAAAAATGCGGACGCAGAGCCGATAGTCATCTCGTTATTTTCATGGCTGTTTCCTTGCACTGCTCTACAAAGGAATCCACCGTAAAAATAAACAAAGTGAATATAAGCAAGTTGTATATAAAAGATGTTGCACTCCAAACTCGCTACCTCATTCAGAAAGTATACTGCGCTGTTTACAAAAAGACTGGGTTCTAGTTTGTAAAACACAACGCACCCAGGGGACCCCGTTGGGGTAACACTTGTTTTGTCTGCTTCGCTGGCAGTTAGATAGAAATTCATCTTTCCTCATTTTTGGTGCATTTTAACACGACTTTATGGCTCTTTACTATGCAACAAGAAATATCAAAGCCGTAGGAATGCCTTTGTCATCATTATGGAAGACAAAATCGTTCAGTTATTCTTCATTCAACGCCGACCTACAACTCAAGCTGAAATCAGACGCCCAGACAATCTTTCGGGCTTCACTGAGTGCTGTTTCTCCACAGGAAATGGTCAAAAATAACCTTTTGTTCCATCAAAATATCCTGTCTATCAAGGAAAGAGAATATGCCGTCAATAAAAATGTTTTTGTGGTTGCTTTTGGGAAAGCTGTGTTAGGAATGACCAAGGCAGTTGATGATATTCTCGGAGACCAGATTGTCCGGGGTGTGGCTAGTATTCCTGTGGGACTACCAGATGTCATAAAGGTACGTGTTGACTAAAGGCTGGTTTTCGTCAATGACGGAGGCCAAGTCGGAGAGGTAATCAGAAGCGCAGAGTGATACAAATTCTAGTAAAAATCAAACTAACCGACTGGGATGCAGAAGCGGAAGAGTAAATCAATCACAATGCTCTACTCTGGGTCTTGTGATTGGTTGATTCTTTCTGCTTCTGCAGTCCGAAGTAATGGAAACATTCTGATTCTTCTGACTCCGATTCTGTCAAGCTTATGCCTCCACTGTGACTCTGATTTTTCAAGTTTCACTACATGTGGGTTGTAAGCACTCTCACAAACTCAGGCTATCATAGACTATGACTCTGTCATTAGTGGAAACCAGCCTTAAGTGGACTGAGTGCATACAAATATCACTCACCAGTATGGCCACGCTAATTGTTAATGCCTTTTTCCAGCTTGTCCATTCTGTATGGGGTGTTCCTATTTTCATCCCTAGTAGTACCAAGCATGACTTTGAACTGCAACCTCTGCCAGTTCCAATTTGAAAGTCATGTTTGCTCATGTTCAAAATACTGTCACTACCCAAAAAGGTTGACCAAAATGGGTGTGTCTTTTTGTGAAGAAAATGGGAGTGTCTTGAGAAACAAAGCTAGTCTTCTACTTTGGGACATCACAACCCAAATAACGGCTGTGTAGACTAGTCCATGCAGGCTAAAATTAAACACTCAAAATAATTTAAAATCAACAACCAGCCCTAAAATAACAGATTGTGGGTTAGGGGGTCTTCCTTTTTATTTTGGCATTTTTTTATTATTTTTTTTTTATGAACTTAGAAGCACAATGACATTCTCTTGGATACTAGATTATAGTAATATTATATTATTGCTTATTTTAAACCATTTTGCCCTTCAATTAATGTTTATTCAAGTCACATAATTATATAACTGACTGCTGCACTGAGGCTACACTTTACGGGAAAACCAAAAACTGTGCAACACATACTAGAACTGGTAAACTATACTAACAGAAATAATTAACCCCTGAGTTTGGTACATTGTACTAATGCAGTCTATAAACCAAAATCTAAGGGCAGTTAGGTGGGAATGTAACCAAATAAATGTCTGCCTTAAGGTGACACACACCTATACCTTCAACCTGATACGACCTATACATTCAATTTCATAGTTGTAACGTTCAGGGTGGCCGCTTAATACGGTAAAAATAACAAAAAAAAACAAACAAACATGAGACTGCTACAGGGTGGCCACGGCCACTTAACAGAGGTGGCCCCATAATACAGGTAACAAATAGAGCATTTGTATGAGTGAAAAATCAGAACTTTGAAAATGGCTGCTTAATAGAGGATGGCCACTTAATACAGGGTTGTTAAAGGATTTTTGCTATGAGTGATGTGTGGAAATTCTCTCAAAATTGCATGAGTGAGGTTCAATTTGAAAGGATTTTCAAACTTCACAAGTCATGTAAATCCTAACTGCTCAGGCTTTCATATGATTATTTGTTATGTGACTGAGAAAATAACACAGACACCTGTATTAATTTATGCTGCAGTGCAATTGAAACGTAATGACAAATTGGCCCGTGCTTAGCTGATCACAATGAAATTAGTAATTTTCTCAGTTATGATAACCTGGGGGGACTCCCATGTGGAAAGGTCTGGGATGCCTGTGGTCTCTCTTAGGGGTGTAAATCAAGGATTCTGGTCTCACCTAGAGTGCTGATAAAGAAACACCACTATTTTTAGCTGTCAAAGTACACGAATCTTGAAAAAATATGTTCTTATTCCCGTTCTTAGGGCCAAGTTTTGCCAGTCCTTCGAGTATGGTTACTAGTACGGGCTCCTTTCCTGAGCAGCAGCTAGTAATGAAGCCTACTCTGTCTTAAGTGGTATCTTTTAGGAGTCAAATACAACTCGAGCCACACCCAGATTGATCTCCTTTAGGGGTTTAATTCAAATTTTCCAGCGAGCATCCCTGACCTTTTCTTATGAGAGTCTTCCCCCCTCCCCCACCACTGGACATAATAATCAGGTAAACCTTGTGCCTCAACTCTAGAGAATTTGTGGTATCTTCTCTGTAATCCTGCTATATTTCAGGTATAAAAACATGTTACATTGGCATTATTATATGATTTTTTTTAACGATGCAGAGTTCTGGAAACAAAGAATTGATTGAAAAGTCAATTCTTCGTGAGGACAGCCCCATTGTAACCCTAGAAGGAGCGAAGAATAACCTTCCTGATGAAAAGGCTCTTCAAGCAGCTAGCAAGATAAAGGAGGTTGTCGAGAGTGTAGGCGAGAAAGACATTCTCCTTGTGCTTATTTCAGGTGGTGGCTCTGCTCTACTCCCATTTCCAGTCCCTGGAATCACACTTGAAGAAAAGCTTAAAACAATCAAAGCATTAGCTTCCAGTGGAGCCACCATTCATGAGCTAAACACCATTAGAAAGAACCTTTCTGATCTCAAAGGTGGAAAGCTTGCAAAGGCAGCATTTCCTGCTAAGGTTTGTGTTTTAACTTGCTTGTCAGGCTCTTTTTATTGCACTTCTTCATTTGACTCCTGTGTATTAATTTTGATCTATGATTGCATGTAATTGTCCAGAAAACTGAGGGGTGGCAATCCTCTACTGTCTATAAGAAGTTGTGTTGCTTCTTTTTCTGGGGTAGGATCTTAAATTTCTCTGGGAATTTGCACCTTTAGTGTTGATACTCACATCACACTTTCTCCAGCATATAATTTAGAAAAAAATTCACAGCAGTGTGAAGTTACTCACCAGCAGTACTGTTAGAGTAGAGGGTCTTATCTAAGAACATGCACAAACATTCTATTTGTCTATATACATGTATCATTTGCTGAGAGGATCTTCACAACCCTACCGTTTTTGTCATTATATGTGAAAGGCAAGTTTAAGCCTGTAAGTTTAAGTTGCCCATCAGGCCGGAGCGTATGGCAGTGTCTACACCATGAAATTACTAGGAATATTTCTACTCTCTGGGATGCTAGCCCATTACAGGGTTACCACCAGTGTTAAATTTGCCAGTACCCATTTATACACCCGGGTGGAGAGAGGTACTGTGAGAGTAAAGTGTCTTGCCCAAGAATACAATGCCCGTGTCCTAGGACTGCTCGATCCAGAGTGGACTGCACTAACCATGAGGCCACCACGCCTCACCTTTTTTTACCACGCTTTCACATTGTGAAAGGTGTGTGGTCAAATTGATTGTGTATCCTTCTACAGGTATCCTCTGGAGTACCTACTATCCTATTTTCAACTGTTGTCTGGTGGAGTGTTAGAAGCAAATTTCAAATAAGTTTTTAATTAGTATAAGTTCTGGTTTGTCTTGCAGGTGGTTACACTCATTCTCTCAGATGTAATTGGTGACCCTCTTGACATCATAGCCTCTGGTCCAACAGTTCCTGATCCATCAACACCAGCTGACTGTCTTGAAATATTAAAAAATCTCAATGCAGAGAAAAAGATCCCTGATGCCGTCATTCAGTATCTAAAACAGGCAGAAAGGAAAGCAGAAAATCAGGACAATGTTAAACTAGACGAGTTTCCACATGTTCAAAATGTCATTGTGGGAAGCAATCGCTTTGCAGTTGATGCGGCAGTGAAAAGAGCTAAGGATCTGGGCTATGCACCCATTGTTCTTTCAACGACATTAAGTGGTGAAGCCAGAGAAGTTGGCAAAATGTTCTCTGATGTTGGTCATCTTGCTTGGAATGGATGCTTGTCAAAAACATCACCTTCTAGTGACAGTGTACTAACTAGCAGCATTGTAAATGAGATATTGAGTGCACGCAAAGAGAAAAAGCCAGTTTGTGTTATTGGAGCAGGAGAAACTACTGTCACCCTCAAAGGGAAAGGTACTGGGGGACGCAACCAAGAAATGGCGCTTGCATTAGCTATTGATGTCAATCAAAACATAGAACGATATTCCACAGAGGAAAATCAAGGTGGTCTTGTCCTGTTAAGTGCAGGTACTGACGGACAAGATGGCCCCACTCCAGCTGCTGGTGCAATTGCAGATGCATACCAAGTGACTGAAGCTATAAAGGAAGGACTTAATCCTGAAGAATTCCTGGAAAATAATGATTCTTATTCATTTTATTCAAAATTTAAAAATGGAAGGGACCACGTCATGACTGGACTGACAGGAACCAATGTTATGGACATTCAGGTTTTACTTGTATCTCCTCCTTCATAACTTCATAAAATTTATTAATTAATACAAAATTTCCTGTAGGGTCATATGAAAATCATAAAATAACAGGTTGAAGAAAATGTAGATCTTTTAAATACATTAAGGTTTTCAAAATTTAGGTATACATTCAAAAAATAAAGAAAGCAATATTTTTAGAAGACT